GGCAGCGTGAAGCCCTGGCTCGACTACTACAGCTTCAAGAAGTCACGTGGGAGCATCCTGGAGCAGGCCTTTGTGCTTGAGCGCGCCGTCACGACGCTTCCGCGCTCGTACAAGCTGTGGAAGCTGTACCTCGAGCTGCGCACCAAGCACCTCTCAAAGAAGAACCCGGCCAAGTTCGCGCCCCACTATGTCAAGGTCAACGCCCTCTTCGAACGCGCCCTCGTCCTGCTCAACAAGATGCCGCGCATCTGGGAGATGTATCTCAACTTCCTCATGCAGCAGCCCCTCGTTACCACTACCCGCCGCACGTTTGACCGAGCCCTACGCGCCCTGCCTCTGACTCAGCACAACCGCATATGGGCCCTCTACCGACCGTTCGCGACGTCTGCGTCAGGCGAGACGGCCGTCAAGATCTGGCGTCGCTACATGCAAATCCACCCCGAAGACGCCGAGGACTTCATCGAGTTGTTGAAGGATATGCGCAAGTACACCGAGGCCGTCAAGAAGTACATGGAAATCCTCAACAACCCACGCTTCAAGAGCAAGGAGGCAAAGGGTCCCTTCCAGTTCTGGACCGAGATGATCGATCTGATGATTGACCACGCCAAGGAAATCGACACCAGCGACGACAGCGGCATCGACGTGGAGAAGATCATCCAGAGCGGCATCTCCAAGTTCCCCGATCAGCGAGGCATACTCTGGGTCGGCCTGGCGCGGTACTGGATGCACAGGGGCGAGTACGAGAAAGCGCGCGACGTCTTCGAGGAGGCTGTCACCACCGTCATGACTGTGCGTGACTTCTCCATCGTCTTTGACACGTACGTGGAGGCTGAGGAGGCTATGATTGGCATCAAGCTCAATGAGGCCGCTGTTCGGTCGGAGAAGGGCAAGATCGACGAGGCTGCTGACGCGGACCTTGACATCCGGATGGTCCGCTTCGAATCCCTCATGCAAAGACGGCCCTTCCTGCTGAATGATGTCATGCTTCGACAGAACCCGCACAATGTCATCGAATGGGAGAAGCGCGTCGCTCTTTGGGGTGACAACAAGAAAGAGGTGGTCCAGACCTACACCGACGCCATTGCGGCAATCAACCCCAAGAAGGCACTTGGCAAGTTTCACGAGCTCTGGGCCAACTATGCCAAACTGTACGAATCGGGCGGCGACCTCAAGAATGCCCGTGTCATCATGGAGAAGGCTGTCAAGGTGCCCTTCAAGTCAGTCTCCGAGCTGGCTGAGATGTGGTGCGAATGGGCCGAGATGGAGCTTCGCAACGAAAACTTCGACAAGGCCGTGGACATCATGGCCAAGGCTACGCAAGCCCCTAAGCGGTCGAATGTCGACTACTTCGATGAGTCGCTGTCACCACAACAGCGTGTACACAAGAGCTGGAAGTTGTGGAGCTTCTACGTCGATCTCGTCGAGAGTGTCAGCACCCTGGAGGAGACAAAGAAGGTGTATGAAAGAATATTCGAGCTTCGTATCGCAACACCGCAAACCATCGTCAACTACGCGAACCTGCTGGAGGAGAATAAGTACTACGAAGACTGCTTCAAGGTCTACGAGCGCGGCCTCGACCTCTTCAGCTACCCCGTCGCGTTCGAGATCTGGAACTTGTATCTCACCAAGGCCGTGGACCGTAAGATTGGCATGGAACGATTGCGTGACTTGTTCGAACAGGCTGTGGAGGACTGCCCGCCAAAGTTCGCCAAGGTACTGTACTTGATGTATGGTGCGCTTGAAGAAGATCGCGGCCTAGCTAGACATGCCATGCGCATCTACGAACGCGCTACACGCGCTGTGGCAGACGAAGACAGGCTGGAGATGTTCAATTTCTACATCACCAAGTCGGCTTCGAACTTTGGTCTCACCTCCACGCGACCAATCTACGAGCGCGCAATTGCCGCCCTACCCGACGGTGAAGCCAAGGAGATGTGCCTCAAGTTTGCCGAGATGGAACGTCGCTTGGGAGAAATCGACCGAGCCCGAGCAATCTATGGCCATGCCAGTCAGTTCTGCGACCCAAGAACAAGCCCCGAATTCTGGAAGAAGTGGGAGTCATTCGAAGTCCAGCATGGCAACGAAGACACGTACAAGGAAATGCTACGCATCAAGCGCAGTGTCCAGGCTCAGTACAATACCGACGTCAACTTCATCGCCTCCCAGGCTGTCGCTCGTGGTCAACAGAACGGTACACCCGCCGACGAAGACGGCGACGCTACCGATGCTGCTGGCGAGGATGCAATGGCCGCTCTCGAGCGTCAAGCACGCGCACCAGCTGGCTTCGTCGCCGCCAGTACCGGTCCTCAGGGTGGCAACATCAAGCCCACCGAAGAGGCAGCCGCAAACCCCGATGCGATCGATCTGGACGACGACGACCTATGATTCACGAACCAAGGTTCTTTTCAATGAGGGCACCTTCAGGGTATACAATTAGGTCAAGGGTGGGTGGATTAGGATGAAAGACTTGCATTTACATTGGCGTTATTTGAGAAAGGTGACAACAACACACCTGGCTATCTTCGCAGGCTACCATGCTACTCCGGAATATTTCATTGCTTTGCGTGTACATTCGGGTTGACCCAGTGCGGTCTCCCTTGCTTCGACCTCCACCAATTTGAGGTTTCGACAGTCTGATCTTTGTGTTTTACTCGACTTCGATCGATACCTTGACAACTTGTCTCGACTAGTTCACTTTCTTGCATCTACGGCGTTCTTTTACTTTGTGAGGGATTCTGCGCGAACCATGTCAGTGGCATCTTGCTCTGAAGAGAGCCCCTGGTGGTTGGGCCGATTTCTTTTGTCGAGTGGTCAAACAAACTGTATGTTATTGGCAACATCTTCTCAGCTTCATCATGTCATATAAAACATCTAGCCAAAAACAAACACTATTCACCCCGCAATCAATGCCTTCGCTTCTGCCGTGACGTGTACATTGTTTCTATATTTGGGTCTATAATTGGATCCATTGGAGTTAGACACATACAACTTGATCGCTTACGCGAAGTCACTGCAACACTAGGTCTTAAAGCATGTCGATACTCGTCTGATTTTGTCATCAGCATTAAAAGTTACTGATCACAAGCTCTCGAGCCACTTCATCGCAGGGAGCCTATTTGATTTCCTCTTGTAATACACGTGTACCGCATGTACGGAGTTCCGATACCGCACTCCCTGTGTCTTACTTTCCAAGAGCCGGATACTCCTTCTCCGTGAAGAAAGAAGTGGGGACACATCCACGTGCTTTGCCACGCACGTTGTTCTCCGCTTAACCAAGACTGCGGCATCGGTGGGAAGGAGCAGCCGAAGCTTTTGTCACGATCTGAGGCAGTTACACTGGATCATGCCCGCACATTGCATTTTGAGCAACAATAATACGACACTGCAGTCAATCTTGTGCACGAGTACATAACAGTATGAGTTTCGTGTTCATTCAGTGATACAGGCTTGTCTGATTGGATCTTGTATCCACCTGGTTCGCGGGCTTCTTCTTCCGTTCACAGAACTGGACAGTAGAAGCCTACTGTTGTGCTGGCTACCTTTTTTTTTGCTCGTGTCTACATACTTGCTACGTTCACGGGTTCGATTTATGCCCGGGTTTTGTTCGTTGCTTTTAGCATCGTTTTCCCGGGAGGAAGGAGAAGGGGAAGTGGTAGTGGTGACTCGTGATAGGGAAAGAGCCTTGGGACGCGTGGCGTGCTTACATCGAACGCGCACGCATCATGGGGTTCGTTGCGGACGACAGCAGAATGGTACGTTAAGTTCTCAGATTTTTGGTTGCCTTGTCTTACATTTCCATTGAACCGCACCGAGGTTACGCGGCTACGGGATTTAGGTTTCAAAGTCTCGCGGTGCAGTAATCGCAGCATTCGTCGGTTCGACGCGACACTTCAGAAGCAACATGTTTCTGTAGTGATCCCATGTGAAGATCTGTGTTACCAAGTTGGAATGATGTGTTACAAGGGTAATGATAGTGATTTGGCAAAAAATTACCTCGGTAGGGGAGAACCACGCTTTGTTTCGTCTTGAATAGTAAGAGTAGGGTTCCTCCATCGCTGCTCATTACCCAAAATACGTTGCGTGTCACCTACTGCTCGTGGCCTCACGCATGCTCACGCAGTGTTCGATAGCACCATTGACTGATCATGTCGTGATGACTCCGTTCCGAACCTGCATGGTCGGCAGTTGAAGCCCAACGTGTGGTTGACTTCTGCCAAACTTTGCACTAAACTTTCTCTCCTTCAGGCAGAAGGGCGAGTGAGTCCCTCTACGTGTTCACCGTGATGAAGGTCCATCCCAGTACCAGGTCGAACACATGAATATGCCCCTTTAAGTAACCAGGCCCATCCTCGTCGATGTCTGGGTGTCACCTGTCACTACCTCAAAAAGCCTTCGTACTCTTATTGTGATTTAATCAATCTCGTAGAGTTCGTACTGTGCGACAACTGGTGGCACGGCATCCGGCAACTTGTGGCACGATCCGCGATATGAAACAGCCTGACAGCCGTGTGCTACCACGTCAAAGTATGACGAGGATGCGCTGGTGTGGAGATGAGTTAATCAGCAGGCTGGGCCCCATCGTGGCCTTCTCGGCTTCAGCCGCATAGCGTGCACTGAGCTGTTCGCCCTGACGATCAAAAGAACGATATGTGGTGGTGTGGTGATGTTTCGAATGGCACGGTGCTGATCGTGGCCCTGTCAAGATAGGTGGCGTTGCTGGCGCGTCCTCAAATGGATTGGTAGGCGCAGTCGAGTCATGGGTCCGCTTCAACTTGCTCACCACCATCCCACGAAGTGTTCAGGCACGAGATGACGAGAAATTTGACAGAAGTATGTCGTGATGAAGTCGAAATGTTGGGCTTGGAGGTATCGCAGAATATGTTGTGCGCAAGATGCAGCTGCCCAGCGATTCCTGTTTCAGAAGTGTTACAGACGCGAGGAGAGAAGTAGACATCTCAACCGCTTTCCGTGATGCGTTCCGTAGACATTCCATTACCATCATGAGTTGTATGCGGATTCTGATCTTGTCGTTCGCGACATGCGCATTTGGGTTGTACGCCTATGCGTCACCGCAATGCCCAAACGCGCCGCATCAATTCGCGGTCCAAGCTCAACTGCCACTCCAATTACCACATTGTCCATTCACCACCGGCAATTCAGAACCATTGCCGAAAGAGACGCCCCTTCAGCACTTACCGTGGTCGCACGATCCAGCCTGTGCTCAAGGGAAGCAGAAGAAATATTGCACCTACACGACTTCCGAAACAAGAGGCGGACATGCTTTGAGCATTATCGCAAGACCTGTAGCTGCAAATGCGATATCTGCGGCCTTCCTAGCTCTGAACGGGGAACACCAGGGCTTGGATGATGGTCTCGAAGTTCGGGCCTTCCCGGGCAAGGGCAAAGGCCTAATCACCACAAAGGCTTTGGAGAAAGGAGAAACGATATTACTCGATACTGCGCGTATCATTGCGAGCTCGCATTTTCCTACGCAAGTTACGCGTGCGCAAGGCCAAACACTCTTCAGTGCCGCACTTGATCGATTACCTCAGGCAGATCGGAACTCGGTGCTCGCATTGGATCAGAGTCTGGGTGGCAGCAAAGTTGAAGACATCATGAAGACGAATGCTTTCGCATGCCAGCTCGCTGATGGCGAAGTAGACGATGCCTACATGTGTCTCTTCCCTTCCGTTGCCCGGATTAACCACGCGTGCCAACCCAATGCGCACGCGCGCTTTGTTCCGAAGACACTGTCGATGGAGATCAAGGCTCAACGGGACATCGCCGCTGGGGAAGAAATCGGTATCTCGTATGGCAAAATCGACTTGAAGCACGCCGATAGACAAGCACTCTATCAGGAAGGCTGGAACTTCAAGTGCACTTGCTCTCTTTGCACTGCTTCGCAATACGATGTAGCTGGTAGTGACCAGCGCCGTGCGAGGTTCGCCCAACTCCGGAAGATGCTGGAGAACTTGACGGCAGAAACCTACGATGCCCAACAAATTGTTGCTTGGGAGAAAGAAGTGATGGAGATTAGTCAACGAGAGGGGTTGGATACTCTGCTCGCCCAGGACTATGAGAGACTGGCGTACGTGTACGCAGGTCATGGAATGATGGGAGATGCCAGACGTTGGGCAAAGATGGCGAAAGAAAGTTTATTGGAATGGGTGGTGGTTGATGGAGGTCCGCGCAATCAGATAAGGAGGATAGAGGACTTGCTCAAAGAGCTGGATGGCTAAGTCAGGGTTGTGATTTCGCGGTCTGATAGCTGGGGCTGCTGGCTTGGGCTACGAAGATGCCTGAAGACGGACCGGAAAGACTGTAAAGTTCATGGGAAATGTACCATTGCTTAGAGACTCCGCGAGTGTTCGCTGGTAGGCTTCCGATGTCCGCGCGCGATAGCCGTGCTAGTAAGCCTGCGGTGGCTGAACGTCTACAGGGCTGAATGAAGCGTCTTGCGATTGTGACGTGGACCGTGATACAGGTCGTGGTCGGGTCGGTCCATCGTCGTCCATAGATTTTCATTGCAGCCTCCGAATACTCCGAACACCCCACATTGCATCCCTGACCCGTCGACCGTGCTTGAGTAGACGTTGTTGCTCATGTCACCCTGCCCGATCCAACCTCAAAAGGGTCCGGAAGGCTGGTCGCAAGATGACGTGAGCGCCAGATTGGGCAGTAGGCAAGTACACTGGGCGGTGGAATTTTGAGAGATGAGGCACCTGAAGACTGTGTGTTCTAATTTACAGCCGTAGTTCGTCATCACGCGGAGGCCCTGCCGGCGCCGCCAACAGGTAAAAACTCTGGATGGTGCCGCAGGCCAGGGTGCCCAGATCTGCACGCACCGGGTACAGGCGAGCTCGAGATCGTGGGCGATCCTCCAACAGTCAAAACAGGCAACGGTCGAAGAGGTCATTGCGCTGAGTAATCTCCATGGAAAAGAACCTTGGAATGATGGAGATAGACGCCACCGATGTGATGGGTTGTTTCTGGATCGGCGAAACTGATAACATCTGACCTATTGACCGACCGAGGGAACGATTGATGCTTGCTACCACATCCCCGCGATTGACAGCTCGGGGCGCTCGCGGCGCCGTTGTCAACGGTGATATGTCGCAGCGATGGCAAAGAGAGTTCGATGGTGGAAATGCAGGTACGTGCCGAAAAGGGGTCTGTGGTGCTGGACTAAGCGGCACTTGACCTATCAGATGCTAGCCGTGGCCTACTCCGCCTCGCATCTCAAACCTTCCACCACACCTGGCGCATCATCGCCTCGACTCTTCATTTGCTACGAGCCTCCCGTCCTCTTTCACTACCTACCTCATGCGGCTAAACGCAAGCAAAAGCATTACTGAACGACCCGTTGTCAAGTGACAAAGCAAAAAGCGAGGCGCGCATCAGCAAGCGCCATGTTCGCGTACGTGGGTCTGAAAGAGCGCATCCCTTGAAGCAAGTGAAGGAGGAAGCGCCGTCGCGCCTGAACGAAATAGACTTTGTCGTCTTTGTACCACTGCTTCCAACGTCGAGGCTGTTACACTTGCCTCGAACTGCTTGTTAGCTGCGTCACCCATGCCTCCGTATACGGGTCCATGGGTCTTTCGAAGACCAGGTTTGATTGTCCTGTTTCAAATGTCGGCGGGGTCTACCCTGTCACCATCGGCTTTGCCAGCTGAAGAAGGTTGTACAGGGCTTCGCCGCATAACATTGCGAATGTAGGGCTAGAGACTAAATATGGACCTGCATGTCCTGTCGACAGCATATGGGATACATTAATGCTCTAAAACATCCTTAGGTTCTCCACACATCCAGTTCGCTCATCACATATCTTCAGTTCATCGCAATCACTTGCTTTTGCAACCAGTCACTCCTTTACTTGTTTTATACTATCTTTTGTCTAATATGGTGTCGAGTCGGTCCCTCCTTACGGTCTTCGCGACCTTGATCGCAGTTGCTACGAGTCAGCAATGTTATGCCGTTGACGGTACAGCACTCGACAAAACATACACGCCATGCAACCCTAGCGCCAATCACAGCGGATGCTGCGCGTCCACCGACATCTGCATGAGTAATGGGTTGTGTATGGGAACAACAAACGAGTCTATCGGTATGATCTTCTCGCGAGGTTGTACAGACAAGGAAGGAAAAGATGCAGCATGCCAACAAGACTTGTGCCCTGGTGGTAAGTTCACAGACGTCTGACTCATCTGATGTTCCCCAACTAACACACTTTAGTTTCCAACGACTTCCTTGGTCTCAAGCCAGTAAAAGCATGGCAACTACAAACCTGCGACTCCGGAACATACTGCTGCCGCGGCGCCGACGACACGAAGAGCTGCTGCAATAACGAAGACGCACCCCAAATCACAACCACCTTCAGCGCAACCCTCCAACTCCAAACCACGAGCCCGGCCAATGAACCCACAGCGGCCGCCGCAACCACTGCCCCACCTCCTAAGACCTGCTCAAAAGAAAAGAAGGAAACGGCAATAGTCGGCGGTGTCCTCACAGCTGTCTTCACCATGATCATCGCAGGCCTGGCTTCCACTATATTCTGGATGTACAAGAGGGAGAAGAGGCAGCGCAAGCTGAAGGAGCACTACGAGGAGCAGTTCTCCCAGACCAACGCCTACCGCAAGGCACTGGCGTCGAGCGCCGGATCCCTCAGAGGCAGCGTCCTGATGGACGACTTGAAGCCCAAGTCCAGCCACGGTCCCGCATGAGGAGTCACACAAACTCAAAAAAAAAAGTCTTTCGTATCGTCTTTCCACTTTAGCGTCGGTGTTTTTGCGGGTACAGGCAGGCATGGTGATGATGGGACAGGGTAATGTTGAGCTCACGCCTGGTACCGATCCTTGGGTTTTAGCCCAATTTCCTTTGTTCGTTTCGGCAGTTGCGAATACCCTTCAGGACTTCTCTTTCCTTTGTCTCGGCTTAGATATCCGGTCATGTAGCGACGACGGTTGGGAAGGAACAACACTTAGATGGTTAATGTGGAACACATTCTGAGATGTAATAGATATAATGCACGTGCATCTTCATCCTATAATATTGCACAAACACGTCTATCATCGCTCAATCTCTCCCAACTTCCCCATGAGCAGTGCCTCAACCTTCTCTCCCTTCTCCAAGCTACCTTCGCCTTGTGGCATACAGAGTAGCGCGTTGGCACCCCTGAAGCTGCCGATGCGGCTACTCCTCTGCCCACCTGTTGAGCTGGCGTATAGCAACCCATCTTCTTTCGTCACAACAAGTGCACGATGATATTCCGGACGACCCTTGTCCATCTTCACATCCTCATCCAATATAACTCTGATCCTTGGTAGTCCGAGTGGCTTTATTCCAGCTTGCTGGTGCAATGCAGGCAGAACAAAGAGATGGAAACACACGACGGCTGAAGCTGGATTGCCAGGAAGCGAGAAAATCGACTTGGTGACATGGTTTCCATCATTGTCCTTGACAGGCACAGTCGCGAACGTGGTGGGTTTACCTGGCTTCATGTTGACACGGCCGAAGTGGATCGTGCCGCCGAGAGAGCGCTCGATGGTAGGTTTAAGTAAGTCGAGTTCGCCCATCGAGACGCCACCAGAGGTGATGATAACGTCGCACTTGCGCATCGCGTCACGGAGACTCTGCTCAAGAGTGCCGGGTCTGGATTTGGTCAGCGACAGATGAATCGGATATTCTTTTCCAACTTTACTTACTTGTCTGAGACGATACCCAGATCGATGACTTCGAACCTATGGCTTCGTGCGGCAGTGATGAGAGTGGGACGGTTGGTATCGCGTACTTCTCCGAGTCGCAACGGGCCCTCCCTGTTGTGTGGAATGATTTCATCTCCTGTGCTTAGGACTCCGACGACAGGCTTCTTGTAGATTGACACCTCTGTCGTACCCACAGACGCAAGGAGGCCAAACTCGCCACCCACGACTGTGACACCTTCGCCTTTCTTCAAAATGATCTCGCCTTCTTTGACATCGCTGCCGACTTCTCGTACGTTTTCGTTTGGCTTGATCTCATCAGTCAGTATCTCAATCTCCTTCTCTTCCTTTCCATCTTCGGTCAGACTCTTCAATACTGTATCCTCAACCATGACCACAGCGTCAGCACCAGGAGGAAGCGGGGCTCCAGTCGTAATCCTGGCAATCTCGCCTTCTTTCAATTCCTTAACTTCGCCAGGCTGTGCATGGGATATGATCGAAACTGGGTAAGTTCCCTTTTCAAACTTGCCAGTCGCTGGAATCTTGACCGCGTATCCGTCGACAATGCTAGCTCGGAAGGCCGGGACAGACTCAGTGGCTTTGACGTCCTCGGCAAGGACCGAACCACTAAGTCTCATGTCTACTGGCACCTTCTGTACTGCAGCAGCTGGGGTTTGCTCCGAGATTAGCTTGAGCGCATCTTCGACTGCCAACATAGGGTACGGCGACGATCGATATCTGCGAGTTGGTCCCGCGGAAGGATCATTAGACTGGGGACGCTCTTCTGGGTTCGTGTGAGCTTTGGGTCCTGCGTGGCCGCCGTGACCATGCGAATGTCCATGATGGTGATGGTGATGATGTCCACTTCCAGTTCCTACCCTTATCAGTTGCAGCTTTTCTGGGGGACATACCACATCACGTACCTGCAGTAGCGCCACCCGAAGAAACACCCGCGTCTTTTTCGAGCTTCTCTACACCACCAACATGTAGCGGTCTCGACTCTGCACCAGCAGCTTGAATGCACGCATGTGGTAGCAGCTTCAGAACTGCCTCTAGATTTTCTTTAGCGCCTTTTGGCGATCCAGGCAAAGTCAATATCAAAGTCTTCTTTCGTACTCCAGCGACAGGTCTCGCCATGAGTGCAACTGATCAAATGTTAGCCTGACCGTTACCTCAGTGTTTAAAGAACTTACATGGCGTGACGGCGTATGAAGTTGTAAGCATGCCATGTCTATTCTTCTGTGAGCCTTCGAATACAGAATCGAGAGAACCACCTACACAAGTCCTGGAGCATGTCTATCAATCAGCGGCGTAACTGCCTTGTTTCTATTAGCTGCATGCTCTAGGCCATTTGGAGAGTGAGAGCGCGCACCTCAGGTGTGACATCCTTAGTCGCAAAACCAGTACCTCCGCTAGTGACGATTAGATTGATTGGCCCCGGACCGTCAGCCCAAGATCTTATTGTCTTCTGGATCGCGAGAGTATTGTCGGGTACTATCTCGGTTTCGCTGACTTCCCATTGGTCATTTCCGAGATCTCCG